GATTTTTAGGAGAGAAAAAAATTGTTATTTGTAGCTGATCGTGTTTGCATGGCCTCGCTCTGACAAATTACATCCCTACATTTATTGTAAATTTCAATGTCAAAAATTATTTTTTTTAAATTGTCAAATATATTTTCCATGCCTTTATTATTCAATTTACCATTGTGTGAAAACATGTCATAATCGTAAGATAATTCTAAATTAGAGTCCAAAATATAAGCGTATTTATGCGAAAATATGTCAAAACTTAATATATTGTTAAATGTTTCAATTCTACAGTTAAACATTTTAGAGTATTCGTTTCATCTATAAGTTGGAGCACATAATATAATATTAGTATGATAATTTTTATTATTTTTAAAGCATGTAACTGCTTGATGTTTAAATCTAAAGAAAATATAACTAGAAAAAATTCCACGCGGACCAGGCCTGCCCCGTCCCGTCTGCTGCCTGGTCCGCGTGGAATTTTTTCTAGTTATATTTTCTTTATATTAGTATGATTTAGATTTTGTAATGTCTGTCGCAATTGCATAACAATTTCAAAATAATTAAGAGAGGTTAAGAAATCTTCTTCACCGATTAATATGATACAATAGTCTTCCATTGTGTACTCTGTTAATTTATTTTCTAGGTTTTCAATCATCTTCTGGATACCACAATTCGGTGTTATATAATGAAATATGCGATGATCTTGGAAAGAAGTCTCTGCGATATCCAGTATACTGTTCTTATTATTGCTACTAACAAAGCAAATTTTTTTAGAAAAATGTTTACTAGGTCTGATTCGCTTGCTTATCACGGCTGTATCATTACATTTTTTTTGTGAGTTTGTTTCTCCTTTTCTATTTTGTCTATAATTATATCCGATGATTGCGGTGAAAAAATATTACTGCTTGCCCTTCTTGGAGTAGAGGAAATATTAATGATTTTATTACTTTGGCCATTTGTTTTTTTAGTACTTTCATTTGAGTTTTTTTCTTGTAAAACCGTTTTTAGATTTCTATTTTCCAATGACAGGTTATTTATTTCTTCCTTAGCCAACGCCAAATCAATATTTAGTTTGTCTATCTGTTTTTTTAATGTCTGTATTTGTTCGTTTTCATCACTATCGCCATCTAATGAGATATTTGGTACGCTACTCGCAGTGCCATCTAGTGGCGAATCGCTTAATTTGTCATCTTCACTAGTTCTTTCACTCGGAGAAATTGATCTTCGTCTGCGGTATGTAATGTTCTCGGAATTCATTTTACAAATATGTAGAATATTATAATGAAAAACAATTCCTTTTAAAAAAATGTATTGGTTCGCTGAGGATTTGAACAGTCGATCTCTGGGTGTCGGCGCAATGCCTCATCCACTGTTCCAACTAGGCTTGAAGACTATTGATGAAATTTAGTATCAGTTCATGTGTTATATTACGTTTATTAAGTCCGTTAGTGACGATTGATTTGAAACCGATACTGGAAGTTAAACTACCTTCTTCACAAATAGCGTTTATGTTTTAACTTCACAAAACTGTTTCAATGTCTATTCTAATAAGTTATCCACCCATAAGTGTGAATCCTTTTAACGCTTGCATTAGTTATTTTCGTTTATTTTGGTTTATTATCTGTACAAACTTTGCACTTATCACACATTTTCACTGTTGCAGTTTTTTCACTTTTATGTCGAAGTTACCGTATGAAAACTTCCACAAACAATAAACGGTACAATTTATGCTCACTTTTAAATAATTATTACTTTACTTGATTGAAATCACTTGTTTTTGTATTTTTAAATTAAACTTTTGTACGCAGCCGATGTTTACATGGCTAGCAGCGCCATCTGTCTCCATAGGAGGATCTCATTAAATAGGCAGGTTAGACTTGGTCCTATGATGTCTACAGTCTCCTTTATGAGCTCGTTGGTAATCTTGTCATCTCCTGGAGCTTTATTAGATTTTTGTGACATTACAGCTTTTCTGACTTCACTGGTTAGGATGTCTGGTATTGCTTCATCTTCCCTTGAGAAATCTTCCATAGCTGAATTGTGCTTTCCTTTGGTTTTACAATATAGATTTTTGTAATAATTTGTTGCAACAGTGCCTATTTCTGATCTATTGCCAGTAATTGTGTATTTTCCTTGATGGTCTTTAGTTCTCACATTTGGCAACCAGGTCTTATGGTCTTTAAGTTGTTTCCATGCCTTCTTTACACCTCCTGTTTTCTCTATTTCATTTTTTATTATGTTTAGTTTGTTTTCTTTGTTGTGTTTTCTAATACTTTCTGTGATTTCCTTGCTAATGGTTTCAATTCTCTTTGTATTATTTCTTCTGTCGTGAAAAAGGGTTTTTCTTATTTCTATAAGTCTTCGGGCATTTTCGCCAATTCTGTCTTTCCTTGTTTTATTCTTTGTCGTTCCTTTACAGATATTCAATATAAAGTTCTCCATTTCATCGTATTTTTGCTTAGTTGTTTTTTCCGACTGCATATCTGGTATCATCTTTTCCAGTTCCGATTTGACTTCATCAGTTAAACGAGACTCTATTTGGTGTATGTCACAATTAAAGTATTTCCTTGATTTTCTTGTTCTATGTTATTATTGTTCCTCTTACCATTCTATGGTTTGTGTTGAAATTTAGTCTATTAATGATTTCTACATTAATAAATTGGTATTAGGCATGTTTTGTTAGAATAAAATCAATGGCATTCTTATGTTTTCCATCAGGAGAGATCCAGGTCCATTGTCTTGCTGTTTTTTTCTTGAACATACTATTCAATATTTTGATGTTATATTCCATTGCAAAATTGCATAGCCTGCTACCATTTCTGTTTCTTTTGCCCGTATTATATTGACCAATTATATGTTCTTCCCCATCCTGTGCTGCTCCAATTTGGCTGTTGAAGTCTCCTATCAAAATTTTTTGTTTGTGTGTTACCTCCATCGTTTGATGTAATGCGTTGTAAAATTTGTCTTTTTCTTCTTCTGCGTTTTGTTCAGTTGGTGCATATACTTGGATAATCGAAACAGCTTTATCAAGACCGGGTAGTTTTATGTTGAGGACTGCAATCCTATCAGACTTACTTTGGAATTGTTCTATATATTCTTTGTGTTGTTTGACTAAAAATCCAACTCCATACATTCCCTGCTTTTCGCCATTAAAGTAAAATATATAGTCGTCGAATTCCCTTATCTCTTCTCCCATTCGCCTTACTTCGCTGCTTCCGACTATATCCCAATTCACTACTTCCAGGGCCTTTTGTAATTCTGCTAGGTGTTCTTCGGTTCTAAGTGTCCTGGTATTAAGAGTGGATATGTATAATTTATTTCTATTTCCTTTATTGCCTTTCAATGGTGTTTTAGGCTTTTTATGTGTTGGCTCAGGTGATGTCTTCCTTTTGGGACCTTTGTATTGTGAAAGTTGTTGTTTTTGTTTATTGTTATTTGGAGGGTAGTGGTCTCTTGTCCCACGGGGACCAGCCGGATTGGGACGTTTAGTGTGTTTTACATTTTTATTTGTTTTAGGTATCTGGTTGATGAAGTTCCGCTTGCCGATGTCCGCTAATTGTTAATTGGCGTTTGGTTCGCTTTGGGAGCTTGATCTAGCTCTCATTTGTTTGAATGCTTTTATTTTATTCATCTTCGCAGGTGCTTTTTGATAGGAATTCTCAGTTAATGGTGACTTTGATGGTGATCTCTTTCTTTTTTCCTTGTTGTTGTCTCCCTTATTTAGAAGTATCAATTTAAAGTATCGTATAAAAGCAGAATGACCTTTTTCTTTTTCCTCGCGGAGTTTAAGTTGTAGCTCCTTTCTTTTCTCAATGACGTCTTTTGGGAAGTCTTCCGTGGCGTATATTCCTTCTGGTAAGAATTTTTTGTTTTTAAGTAACTACTTTTCTCCAAGTCAGAGTAAAATTGATGGGTCGCTCTAGCTATTTCCCATTGGTCCCATGCATCAGTTTTTACCTTCTCACTAATGTTATTGAGAATATTCAGTACAATTTCCATTAATTCTTTGAAAGAGGTCTCATTTTCAGTAGTATTATGTTGTTTTTACGTGATTCTTTTTCCAAATTTGTTAATTTTTCATTAAGTTTTATCACTTCCTTTTTCAGCAGTTCATTTTCTTCTAAGATCGGCTTTATTTTTTCCTCTAAGGCCTCCCGACATTTTTAAGGTGATGTTTTGTGTCAGGGCGATAGTTTGTTGTTCCAATTTTTCTTTCAACCTTTTCCACATAATTTCAAACTGTTGCTCCATTGCTATGTGTTTTCTACTAAATTGGTAGTTTCTTTTTTTCGCCTGGTATGTTTGTTCGGTTTCTGAACGTTTTTAATTGTCTGTGGTTTGATTTTTTTATAGTTGGTAGCTCTGATAACTGTCAGTGTTAGGTTCTACGATAGGTTTTAGTTATATAGATGGAATTTCGTTCCTTTACTGACGATTTCTATGCTTTCCAATATTTTTTCACACAAAACTGTATTTGATTTGTATGTCGGCAGTCTTGATCTTTGTAATAATACCACTTTCAGTGCGCGGATGTTAATATTTACTAGAAAAATTGTTTTAATCGGACGACGTATTAAACGGTAAAGTTCATTTGGCAGCTGTCAAACTCCAGCATTTATATAAATAAATAAATCACATAAAAGTGTTCAAATTCAACGACAAATATTTGTATAACGGTTTACTTGTAAGCGTTCCTGTTAATTTACTGCCGTAGTACTAATTGAAAGTATTACCGTATCACAAATATGAGGCTAATTGACATATGAAAACTGTGATTAATAATGAGGGTAAATTGATTAGACAAAATTAGCTATCAAAGTTCGTGTGGCAAAACCAGTGTTGACCAGTGGTATTTGCCCTTATGATGTCTTTTTGCTGGCCGATATTCAACTATAGGCAGGTCCTAAATCAGAGAAAGTTACTGTTAATCCTCTGACCAACAGAAAATATATTCAATTATAAAAAAGCACAGGTTTATTAAATGTTATAATTGATTATTCTTATTATAACAGGTATCTACCAGTGAACCAAAGAACAAAGATGCAACAAAAACAGTTGATAAGTCCAACTCAACCGCCCCTGACAGTTCCGGAGACAATTGCCATCAACCACCGGAACAGAGTGCCGATGCTAAAAACACAGCTACAGCCAACGGTCCAGACGTTTGCAATGGAGAGGTTACAGACTCCAAAGAAACCGATAAAGAAGAAAATAATATCACATCCTCCAATGGATCCGCAACACCAGTCAAAGGGAAAGGAAAAGGTATATATCTATTTATAGTTAATCACAGATGATAATTTAATTTGTAGAATAAATAGTATGTGTACTGAAGTTGTATGTAAACAAATCTACATCAGTCCCAGTAGCATGATTACCGAAACACGATAATACGACTATGTTATTAATATAATGACTTTTTATTTCCAAAGCATCCGTTATCCATCACATTCGCCATGCCATTTTTCATTAAAACTTATTTGTTTGTTGCATGTGTTAAGATAAAGATCGTTCAGATTAAAGCTTACTAGCTTTGAATACTTATTTTTAAGTTCATAACACTGCGGTTACGTTTTTCTCCTATTCCATCTATTAACATTTCTATTTAAAATGTCTCCTTTTTTTCTGCAAAGATTCTTATTTAAATAACTTTAAATATTATGATAGGTGAATTCTTCTTTATCTTTGCCAAATGGCTTGTCTGTCTGTGTTCATCACAAATATGCCAAAAACGTAGGTAGCTTTAACACGAACGGAATTATCACATAATAATTAGATAGATAAACGTTTATTCTCTGTGAATTAAAGTCTGCTTTTTACTTAGATTTGACGACGACGTGGCCGAGTGGTTTGTACGCCGGGTTTCATGGTGTCACCGACTCGAGACGTCCCGGGTTCGAATCCTGGTGGGGGCAGATGTTTGTGTGATGAGTACGAGCATTTGTAATCCAGTCATGGATGTTTAATATGTATTTCTATATAATTAAACATAAATATGTACAGTATATGTATTCTATCCGTTACCCGAGCATCCCAAAACACAAGCCTTATAGTGCTTTCTTTGGGGCTAGGCTAATTGGTGTGAGTGTTGGAAATATTTATTTCTTTGTTTAGATGAAAACAAAAAAGTGAAGATACGGTACGCTCATACGATATCACACAGCATATCTTATTTGATGTTAAGATATGCTCCAACTCAACTATATAAGCAATTCTCACATACGCACACTTCTGTAAATCAAAATTCAATCAAGCAAGCTAGACTGAACTGTACCCTTAGCACGAACCAATATCGAATTCGTATCGAATCGTACGAAATGTCATTGTCAAATATGTACTGATTTTTAGTTCTAGTTACGGACTTTGTGGCGCTGAAGTGCAAGTTTCCATACAAAATTTGACATTGACATTTTGGACTCGCAAACGATTTGGTTCGTGCTAGGGGTACTGTACGCTTTAACGCAGCGCATCGCTTGGCAACGGACTGCGTTTTCTTTTCTCTCTTTACAAACGGCTGAGCTATATTTTTGTCCTTTTTTTGATAACAAATAGCAAATAAGTAATTAACATTCATGACAAACCGTGAATTTTGTGTTATTTTGATTTAGAGTTTCTACGAATAAAAAGTGTTGCCGTTCTTTTTAAAAGCGTCGAAGGCATTGTTTTATCTTTATAACACAGAATATACGCAATATTGTTGTATTTAGTGGACATGCAGTGTGTTTGGATGTCAAATTGTGACTATAGCAAATTGTGTTAATGCACTACAATTTAGCAGTACACTTTTGAGCCGCGAGTGTCGTATCTTCCCTTTTTGTTTTAATCTACGATTATTTATTTAATTATATTGTTGTATCGCCAGTATCGAGTTCTGAGAAAGCTCCAGAGCGACCTAAAAAGGCGAAGCTTCGTCGTGCAGCTGCCGCCGTTTACGAAACGTTACTTCGCCACGCCGCCGACGATGACGACGAGAGCGACTCCAACGACGAGACCTTCGAGGGCGGCGAGATCAACTCCTCCGACGAGGAGAACGTCAACGGTTTAGCGGAGTCCTCGGATGATGGTGAGCTAGTGTGCAGTAGTTTAGGGTTTATTCAAGACCGCCGACGACGACGGCAAGAGCGACTCCAACGACGAGACCTTTGAGGGCGGCGAGGCTAACTCCTCCGATGAGGAGAATGCCAACGGTCTAGCGGAGTCGTCCGACGGTGGTGAGGCAGTGTGCTGTAGTTCAGGGCTCATTCAAGGCCGCTGACGATGACGACAAGAGCGACTCCAATGACGAGACCTTCGAGGGCGGCGAGATCAACTCCGACGAGGAGAACGCCAACGGCCTAGCGGAGTCGTCCGACGGTGATGAAACAGTGTGCAGTAATTCAGAGCTTATTCAAGGCTGCCGACGATGATGTCGAGAGCGACTCCAACGACGAGACCTATGAAAGAGGCGAAATCAACTTCGACGAGGAGAACGCCAACGGTCTAGCGGAATCGTCCGACGGTGGTGAGACAGTGTGCAGTAATTCAGGGCTTATTTTAGGCCGCCGACGACGACGATGAGAAAACCAAAACTTAGTTATAGCATTTATCTGGCATACGAAAATATATCCTACTTATATTATGAATAAGTTTGTATGTTTGTTGCTGAATCACGCTAAAATAACTGAACGGATTTTGATTTAATTTGGTATGCATATAGTGTATGACTTGGATTGAGACATACGATACTTTTTATCCCAAGCCAAGACTAAAATGATGCCACACGCTAGTAAATTTCCGGCTAAAGTGACATTACATTGTATCGTTTGACATTTTAATGACAGGCGTGTGACGTCGCGTTTTCGCGGCAACTTGAAAGTTTAATTTTAATTAAGATTATTTACTGAATTACACAAAAGAATTAAAAATATTCATTTTCTATGGACTCCATAAACATTAGTAAATAACGTGAGATCATTTTATAAATATTGACAATTACCCTATTGCAGAGGGCAAAGCGAGCAAGTGAATCGCTTAGATTCGCGTCCCGTTTCTCCAGTCCTCCATCTGTTCCGTTCAATTTTCTATAGTCAAAGTTGACTGTGGCAAACCCATTTAAAAAAAATATTTTATTTTTAGGTGAAGCTGAAGAGGAAGAAGAGGAGGAAGATTATGAGGCAGAATCCAGTGAGGATGATGGCGAAGAAGACATTCTGTCCGAAGAGCCTGGGAGTGACAGTGGCTGCACAGCTGTTGTGGCACTTCTCAAAGGTGATAACAATCATTGTATATTCCAAATTATGTATTAAAGGATGCCTTCATTAATCATCTCATATTGAAGTAATTTTTCAACTTGACCTCTGTTAAAAATAATAATATTTTGTGATTTTTTTCTGGTTCTGTTCAGTACGAAATCTGCCGCAGATTTTATTTAAAAAGAGCTTGTAACAAAAATTTCTATTTAATATTCTTGAAATTCAAACTAACCTGATACTTTTTTACAGGCAATGAGCTATTTGTGGCAAATGCTGGGGACTCTCGATGTATTATTTGTAGAGAGGGTAAAGCCATCGACATGTCAGTGGACCACAAACCAGAGGATACTCCAGAACTCGAGAGAATCACCAAAGCTGGTGGCAAAGTTTCCAACGATGGACGGATCAACGGTGGCCTCAATTTGTCACGTGCCATTGGTGATCATTCTTACAAACAGAACAAGGACCTTGATGCTAAAGAACAGATGATTACAGCCTTGCCAGACATAAAAACGTTAACGATTGACCCTATAAAAGACCAATTTATGGTCTTAGCCTGCGACGGAATTTGGAATTTCATGTCTAGTCAGGATGTGTGTGACTTCATTGTACCCAGATTGGCAGAAGGCAGGGAGAGGTTATCTCAGATTTGTGAAGAGGTTTGTATTAAATTGAATGTATTTTTATCTTTTTTTTTTTGCATTAGTCTATTAATCTCCCCACTGCTGGGACAGTGCTCCAGCTTTGACTGGTCATTGATACAATGCCTTAACTTACATGATTGCAGACCGAACGCAGTAATTATTGCGCCATCCAACTCTTCGCAAGTTTTTACGCAAGTGACAATGTTTTACTGTTTTTAAATTTTCTTTTAGATTTCTGGTCTGCTGATTTTTTTTTCTAGTAAACTTTTCTTTAGATTTAAACATCTAGCAGATAAATGTTTAGAAAATAAAAACTACACTTTCTTTTAGATGTTTGATCACTGCTTAGCACCGAGTACAATGGGTGATGGGACCGGTTGCGACAATATGACTGCCATAATTGTACGGTTCAAGGACGGTGTCATCACAGAAGCTGTACAGCACACAAACAGTGAGGGTGCCAAGAAACGGACAGCTGAGGAAGAGCCCAGCCTCGAAGAACAAAAGGAATCCAAGAGGCAAAAAGTTGACGACCCACTATCTAGTTCAGTGGTGACATCTAGTGTTTAGACATTTTTTTTCTTAAATTATAAAGACAAACAGTGTTCAAACCATGCGTAGTATTGTGAAAGTTTTGGTCGAGACTATTATTTTAATTATGAATAAGTGGGACATCGCTCACAATGTGGGGTTTATCATGTTTATTTTCAAAAATTTGGGATTACAGAATGCGATATATACTAATCCCATCTCTTGTCACGTTACATAAAAAGTGGTTATAAGGATTCAATACTTGCACTTTTAGAGAATGGAGCTTGTTTCTGTCAATATCGATGTTAGTCATTATAAAGATCTGTTTTACAACTCAATTTATTAGTCGAGTAGATGTTGTACTAGGAAATAGGAATTGTGCACATAGCTTCATGAATCTAGAAAGTTTAGTGACATTAGATACAGATTAGCAATTCCGTATTGTATAATCATGCAAATGAAATAATCAAATGTTGAATTGCATTATTCCTTATCAATTAATTTCATTTAAATATAGAAACATCTGCGTTATATAGAGATCGCAAAAATTGTGAAGCTATTAAATGAGTTTTACAAATACAATGTTGTACTGCAGTAACAACTTTTTTTTTTGTAACGGTGACTATTCAGTTTAAGTTTTTACTCCCATTGACTTCAGAACTGACTTGAATAAAGCATGTAGTTTGTAAGCAGTTTTGTTTGTAAGTTAATTAAGTTCACATGCGACGCGGCTATTGTATCTGTGGTTTATTTGCATAACTGCTCACATAGAACATATGTTTAGTAGAACTTATTTGTTGTGACAATGGCAGTAGAACAAATAAGTAAGTGAAGTTTGCATTGGATAAGAGATTCATATTGTTCTTTATTGTCCGATATTACAATTCACTATCATACAGACATATCTGTAGTCAATAGACGGATATGAATCAAATCTAACCAATCATTTGTTTGTGATACACTGGTATAATACAGATATTGATGTAACAATGTATTGAGTGTGATGGTCGTAAAAGAATTAACTTGCGAAGGTTTTTTTTGTAATCCATTGATTATTTATTTAAAGCGGCATCTAATTAATGTACTGCAGGACTGAGATACGCGTCGTTTGTGACTACCTCTATTTCATTAATTATTACATTACCCTTGGTCTTATTTATATGTATAATATTGAGTGGACAATTATTTTAGGTAGCTAAAACAAGCATTTTTGTTATTTAGATGTGATTAGTGATGGTAAGTCATTTGTCTTAATAAAAGGGAACTTAAATTGGATTAAAAACATGTGCCATTTTCAATAAATCATAAGATTTTGTATCATCACCCTGCTCGTTTACATCACATCTAAATCAAATGGCATATTATCTGATTATTGCAGTGAGACAAAAATTTGGTTTGGGATCATCATATGGTTATTAGTTTGGATTAAAAAGTGGATGTTCAGTACCTACGGCATATATTTTAACTCCACTCTGTATTTAAATGTTTAACAATGTAGTAAAGGAATTTGTAATTTCACATTGTTGTAAGTGAAAAATGAGTTTTAGTTGCACTTCCTCTGGAAAGGCCGACCAGCCTTAAAACGAGTGCTATAGTGCAAAGGACTCCCATTTATTGGAGTTCTATAAATGTTTGAATTATTAGGGCCTGTCAATACCAGATTAGTTGTGAGAAGGCCTGTGCTGTGATAGGTGTCTTATAAGGAAGCCGGACCTCCTTTAAAAAAATTAAACGCATCTACGTGTTTAAATACGACATTAGCACTTGTATATTCATTAATTTGTATTATTTTGTCAAAAAAAATACATTGGCATGTTCCTAATGACTAAATTGTATTCATAAATTTCAGAATCAATTGAGGGAGTATGTATATTTCAATTATTTATCTGTGTTACTCTATAGTTATAAGTAGTTATATTTTTGTAATCACAGGTACTGTTAAAAAAATATATAAAACCGTAATTGAATTTTGCAATGTTAATCGACAAATTCCAAACTGGGGAATATATTATTATTTAATTTCATGAATGTTCTGTTTCAATTATACAAGTAACCCCATATTATTGGCAGTTTGATACTTCGAACTGTATTATCATTTCATGTGTGTTTCAATGAATACATTTTTTGCAGACTGTATGTTAGTTTTATTAATTTTAAATAACTTATTCATAAATAATTATACATAATTTTATCAACTTATATGTAAAGCATTAACGTAGCTGGGTAAGATATTCGATGGTTTCTATTTGCGTCGCTTCGAGTATTTGAAGGGCATCGTATTCGCTGTCAAGTTGCTCCAGTATTATACTCTTGTCGTTTATCTCCGCCTAAGTATTAGAACAACATCATATAGTTATTCATTTACTTTTAAATAAAATTACATTTATTACGCCTGCAACTACACCGAAACCCGATTCACACCGAGACGCTATGTGTCGATTTAGGTATCTTAAGTTATAAATCCGAAGTTAGTCTAACGCTGCTCCATATAAATTCATACAAAGCAGTCGAGCGCGGCCATTGGCGTGGTGCGGCTTTAACGGGCGCATCAAAGCATTATGAATGTATAAAGTTAATTTAAGTAAATTACAAGGAACCATACATTCAGTTGTTTAATTCGATGTTATTGGCAAAATGATGACTGCTTATGACGTGTAGGTGTAGGTACTATGCAATCAATATGTACTTTCTGAGCAGACGCGGTCGCAGCATGAAATTTTGGACGGGGTCACTCACTACACTAATAAAAAAAACCGGCCAAGTGCGAGTCGAACTCGCGCACCGACGATTCCGTACGCACCTGAATTTTCAAAAATATTTTTTATTATATGATGTTACTAAAAATTTACGGTTTTCGCAATTTTTCCTTTATCTGTCCTATAAGAAGTTACTTTGTACCAAATTTCAAGATTCTAAGTTCACGGGAAGTACCCTGTAGGTTTTGATTCCCGTGTGAGTTTCTAAAATTTGCGGAAATTTGCAGCATAAACGGCTGTATCTTTTGATTGCTTTGGCTTAGACCAGTAGACCTGTGAATTAGATATGAATTACAGTTTGATACCTCCACGCGTTCCTGAGCAAAAAGGTCTTGACCGACGGATGGACGGACAACAAAGTGATCCTACAGGGGTTCCGTTTTTCTTTTTTAGGTACGGAACCCTAAAAATAGGTATCTCGAATAAAATAAGCATTATTGCACAAGTCACAATTTAATTTTATACATTACTTATAAAACAAAGTGGAAGTCGTCTTTTTTTTTGTATTTGCGAATCGTTTGATAATATTTGAAACGTCTGGTACTATTTCCAGGTGAATGTTTAGAAGAGCTAAATCTGTTAATCGCTCTTCTAACATGTTAGCCCTCAACCACGTTTTCAACTAAGTAGACAGCCTTTATCTTGAATCTTTACAATAAACCGACAAATTACATTATTAGAATATTGTTATACAATCTTTATCATAACGACGCATATCGATTTTGCTAGGGTTACCAAAACTACGTAGTTCGGTTCCTTGTTTCTAAACTATGTCATTTGCTCATTTCCAAGTTATTTTGGCCATCGTTAAGTAGTTCATAAAAAACACCACTAGATGTCAGTAAACTATAAATTTATCGCTGTTAAGAGATAGCTGGATATTTCCTTTTATTATTTGGCAAATTTTTGAGATTCCCCTAGTCGAGGTCCCCTTCGGACCGCGCCTGTTTCTGAGTATATAGTAAAGGTGTTCTTCAACCTTCCTCTATTTGTTGAAAAATGTGTAATACGATAGCGATATTTAATAAAATCAAGTTACCTGCAACTTAGCCTGTTCGGAATCTCTATCCTTTGTTATGGACTTGAGTAGATTCATTGCACCCATTGCAGACATTTTTTGTTTCTCTACATTGTCACCAAGTTGCTTTAAAATATCCAACAGAGAGTTAATGATTCTCAAGAAGTCTTGAATTTCTGAAAAACAATACTAACTTTTGTAAAACAGTATCTGGTGAGAATGTGGAAGAATAATTTATACAAATACCCTAGGTCTCAGATTACAGAACTAAAGGCAGATTGAGCGTCACCAAAGCAGAGCCTGTAACATGGAAACTAATCGGTCGAACAGCACTGGCTCTCGTTTTTCGCATCTTGTATGTACTGTAAGCACTTTGAGTATCTATTACACACAGTGTAAGCACCATGAACTTTCACCACCAAGATTACAGAGCGGACTAATTAGTTTCGTTTGTTCCATAAACATTTTATAATAACTACTTCTTCAGTGTTATTGCGTTACAGGTTTGAAACAAAGCGTGCACGACAGAAGCAAACTAATCTAAACGGCGCTCTGTACGTAACAAAGCGGTTTACCCTCCCATAAGAAGTTATCACTTCAAATACATATTCATAAAATAATATTTTCCAAATATTCTCCTATTAAGTAAATGAGCACAGGAGATTGGTAGGTGAAAGGGCATTGGAGGGTGAAAAGAGGATTCGAGGTTAAAACGGGGGATTGTAGGGTGATAGTGGGGTTTGATGGGTGGATAGTGGGGATTGATGGGTGAGGGAGTGGGGTTGGTCTGGGGACAACCCTCTGGTACCTGGGCCTTTATTCTCATTTGTTCGATTCATTAGTTCGATCGTCGAACTAGTGAGATTTTTTTTCTCATTAATTCGATCGTCGAACTACTGAGATTTTATTGTTCTCATTTGTTCGACCTTCGTCAATATTGCATCCATAAACATTTAGAAAAAGGTCCCAGGAAACCATACATACAGTTTGTCTATAAAGTCGTGACATGAATGTTTGAGGAACTAACATTATTCATGTGTCTGGCAACACCAAACTTATGTACATCCGCTGTCATCGAGTTTCAGTTGTGGAACAGTTTTCCTTTTGTATTTTTTATTGTTTGGATTAAACTGTAATAAATTAAGACGAAACTACGCAGAAAGGTATAAAAATGAGTAAAGTAAATCGGAGTGGCACGCGGGAAGTGATTTTTAAAGTTTTTCAGCGATGTTTCGAAGACTACCAAGCTGGACGAATTTTGTGGGATTTGGAGGATGTTTATGGGCGAACAGCATCTATGACGGGTATGTAATCGTGTAACTATTTGTTTGTAATCAGCCTGAAGTTACAAATTTACTCAATTTACGATTTTGAGAGCAAAAAAGGCATTGTTTACATTGCACATTTTTAGGTTAGATTGACATGTAAATAAAATGGGTAATATTGTAGTATGACCAATTCTTTTGATACGTTATTATGGTTCAACTCGGTCAGGTTTTCTACCAATTTTGAATTAATTGCTTCATGTCAATGTTTTTTTTTTTCTCCTTTATAGCCTGCACGGTTTGTGCGTCAGCCACATACAAGTGTAAAGGTAGGGAAACAGGATAAAAAAGGAACGGAAATTTAGAAGGACAGGATCAGGTAAGTATTTACAGTTTAATATTGGTGTCGATTCTAGAGTGATTCTCTAAACTTAAAACTAAATTTAACATCAGTCTCTCCTTTTCATTCTGTATAGAGAATGACAAGGATGCACTGTTGTCAAATTTAAGTTTAGCTTTAGAGAATCATGCCAGAATCGACATCATTGTGTTTCTGGATAAAATTAGAAATACATAAATAAATATCATACTTCATACAATAAAGCAAAGTATTTACAGAAGTCGGGAGGGGAATACGAAGGGATGTTAAGGAGTCAATAAAAGAGTAACAGTCATATAAGGAGCACGCGAAAAAAATATGGTTTAAATCACCAACATCAGCGCCACAATTACACATACTATGTCAATAAGTTATTGTTTCTATTCCGTTACATATTTTTTTACTTTTTTTTTTCAGGAAAATTAGAGAGTCGGATAGTCAACGAAGGTTTTAAGAATGATGGAAAGTTTGAAACTCCTGGGAAAACAGGCAAGGCCGACCAAAGAAAGAAATGGTCACATAGAGAACCATGGCCAGATGCTTTTAGTGAAGATACCTATCACTAATTTTACTAACTGCACATTTACAAATTGTTTCTCTAAATAAACTTTTTATATACTATAAAATGATTTTTAGTATTATTTTCTTAACAAGTGTGTTAAAAAACGTCGTATGATGATACTTGTGTGTATTGATGATTACCTAACGGCTCTGGTCTCAATGGCACCTCAGCGGTAATCACCAACATTATACACTTTTACACTACAAAGTATTATTTTATCTATAATAATTTTATTCTGATTCAATTAAATATGCTTGGCTTAACTTTTTATAAGCATAAGTACCTACTATATATAAAACAGAAACAAAATAAGACTGTATAGTGTGTCTTATTAATTACCTATTTTACTTGAATGAACTGCTAGTATCAAAATCATTTTGGTCCGACTGTATAGGGTTGCTACATGCATACTAGTGGCGCCATCATTTAATGTTACGACTTTATAGACAAACTGTAACTAAGAGGTTCTGGTAATGAAAATAGATAAATAAAGAAAATAAGTTCAACGACGGTCGAACAAATGAGAACAATAAAATCTCAGTAGTTCGACGATCGAACTAATGAACCGAACAAATGAGAATAAAGGTACCTTGGCGGTCTGTGGCATCTATCTCCTTTTGCCGCAAAGGGAAGCCAGACAGACTGACGCCGTAACGCGTTACGTAACAAAGCGGTTTACCCTCCCATTAGAAGTTATCACTTCAATAATGGGATTTAGTAGGTTAAGTTTAGTAAGATGTAATTTCTGCAGCGCCACCTACTGGGTCCAGTTGTGAATTTAAACCAGACTTGAATCAATCTCT